ATGCGGAAAAGTTGTCTTTTTAGATGTAGAATCCAGTGCAATTTTTTATTTTGAGATCGGACAATATTTTCCGATCGCGCAACGAGCTCTAAGTTAAGCATTAGCTCTTATGGGGAAAATCGTCAAAAACCATGAAAAAATGAAAATCAAAAATTTAGGCTTTGTACGTGATGTTTTTTGAAAATCTGTTTTCAGAAATGCAATCTACGCTAAAAAAGGCATCCGGTGATGTATCACACTTGATATTGCAACCCATGGTGTAGGCGGTGTAGGCTGCATAATTTGATGACTTTTGTGCAATTTGATGCAATTTGGGCTTACATTGATACCTGGCCGGCACTGAACCGCTCACTATAATATCAAGTGTGACACATCAGTGGATGCCTTTTCTGGCGTAGATTGCATTTCTGAAAACAGATTTTCAAAAAACATCACATACAAAGCCCAAATTTTCGATTTTTATTGTTTCATGTTTTTGGACGATTTTTCCCATAAGAGCTAATGCATAACTTTGAACTCGTTGCGCGATCGGAAAATATTGTTCGATCTGAAAATAAAAAATTGCACTGGATTCTACATCTAAAAAGACAACTTTTCCGCATACCCGCCATTTCAATATCTCAAATCCTTTTTTCACGCTACCCTCTAATGTGTAGGTAGCCCTTAAATCACTGCACCCTTGGTAAAATTCTTACATTACTTTAATGATGTCTGGCCCGAGGTTCTCACAAATAAAATCTGAGAGTAAAGTGGGTGGAGTTGGGGATCTATGCCCAGTTCCAGTGCCACAGAGCAACGGTGAGGAGAAGTGGGAGATATCTGTATTCTGTGTTAAAAAAAGGGGGGGGAGCAGCCTGCTCACAAGACAAAAGCACCCCAATGAGCAGGCATTTTATACCAAGAGCATATTTCTCTGGCGATGATGCTGGGGTGGGTTGGGTCTTGGTGTTCACTTTCCAATGTCACTTCTTGGTCCACATGATCTCGCACCATACAGAACTGGCCCCTGACCCCACCCACCACACGTAGCCTATCGCACAACGGCCCCCTACCTTCCTCTCCACCTCCACCTCCCCTCTGCTCCATCCCTCCATCCCCCCTCCCCTCCTCCCGCGGGGTGTCTTGACCGTGAGCGAACACAATCGGAGTGGGACAGGTTTTGTTATGTGTCGGTAAGAGATGGACTGAAATTTTATTTATATTTTTTTTCTGCTCTCCAACCAGCGCAGCTGGATACGCCTCCCGCAAGCAGAGCCCAGTGCCGCACCCAACAGGGGAATAATAAAAGATACAGAAAACAGATAGATGAATGAAATAAGACGTACGAAAATTCACACATATCACGTACAGGAAGCGGGGGTTTTATCTCCGAGAAAAACTTCTCTCTGTGTGTGTGTGTGTGTGTGTGAGAGAGAGAGGGGGGGGGGGAATCACGTCACCCGGGTGACGGCCCCTGGCCCCTCCCAGTACTACGTAAATGACGACCGCACCGATGCACAACCCACTCGTTGGCTCCGCCACCGCAAGGATATGAGTGTAATATGACGAAAATAAGCCTAGGACCCGAAAAGACTATCATCATAATCTTCCAACCTTCCATGAGATGGGTCTACCGACCGACAAATTCATGACATTTTCACCCTCAAGTCTCATGCCTTACTCTTTGTTTCTCGAAACGGCAAAACAATACAGCATTTCTGTAAAGCTTAAAAAGAAGAAGAACGCGAGGAACAACGAAGCGGAAATTCGTCCCAGCATTTTACTGCATTTCAACCTTACCGGAATGGTTTTATTGTCAAGCTTTTTGGTTTTCAGTCCGTATTTTCGTGTGGCTGTATCTAAAGGGCGCGCGTGGGACGAATCGTGGTGAATCCAACGATGAGAAATGATTCGGGGGTTAGACGGAAGGCAGGCAGAGGAGGGGGTCGGGGGGGGGGGGTTATAGGCAGTAAGTCGGGCACCATTTTTCTCGTCTGATGCCGGATCGCGTCCATCGTTCCCGTCGACTTGCTTGATGGAGCACGGCACGTATAGCTGCGGGGTACGTATACATTGTATACCAACACTAAAACGGTTCGTCGATCCGGTCCGCTCCAGACAGCAGGGGAGTAGTTGTTCCAAATGCTGGCAATTTAAATGTGTTTCAAAAAAAGTTCT